GAACCATGTTGTGCCCTCCTCTCTCTCAGTGTACCTGACTTCAAGCTCCCACAGCTATTACGGACCTAGCGCCTGTAATTAGCCTTTTCTCTATTTCTGATGTCACTTCAAAGCGCTGAGACCGCCAAGGCGCGCTGCAAAGTCGAAGCCGCGAGGTGGAGCTGGGCATTGTTTGGCTGCCGGTCACTAATTCAATTAATCATAAAATGCTTTTTAATCCTGACTTGAAAAGAAATAGTTGCCCCATTCATTTTAGCTACACGTTCTTCATACTGTCTAAGTAAATAACCTTGAGAGAAAATTGTCTAGCTGGCTGTATGCATAGCCCTGCGCTGTAAAGGATGCACAGAGAATGAGGAGGAGTGATCCTGGTGAGTCACACTGAGGACTTTGGCAGCGAAATGTGAGTGAATATTAGTTTATAAGGAAAAAGTTAGGGAGGAAATGTCTTAATTACTTTTTGAGGCCAGCGAGTTAATCTTGATCAGCCAAATAAGCTTGTGGCACATCCAAAACCAATTACATAGAAGGTCTTAGAAAATATGTGAAATATTAAATGAGATTGAGTCTTCAAAATAGGGGCTAAACAATAAATCAGGTGTGAAAAGGAAGACTACATGGAAACTAGAGATAGACTGATATATCGGGCTGATATTGGACTTCATATTTGGATAACGTATCAGCTATCGGCCTTAAATCTCCAGCACAGGGCAATATTTTGTTTTAGGTGACCTTCTGCCTAAAGCTACCCATAAACCTTTATTTGATCATGTTAATGCAAATATATAACTGCTGAAAACATAACTACAGCTCTGTTATGGGTTTGTGGTGAAAATGATATAATTTGGGGGAGAAAATCCAAATTGGCCATACATATCAGCCCAAAAATACTGAAAAAATACGTCAAGTGTGTTGGCCATCAGTTTCTCTGGATTCCAAACAATCGGTATCGATAGTGGCCATGAAAAAAAACATATTAGTCGATTGCTAATGGAAACCAAAAACACCTCTGGTCAACTCAGGGCCATAGGCTATGTTAATGTTGGTTAAAAGAATATAAAACCTTTATTTACATTTCTAAACAATACGAATTCCATCTAATATGCCTTTTCTTCTCTTCTGAACCTACTGAAATGTTGCCAAATAATGAACAATGAAACAACAGTCAAACTTTTCTGGCTTAGAGTCATCTTGTCTGTACTATCTTGAGACATGTTCTTGGCTTCAAATTGAAATGAGATTCATGAAACAGTCAAATATTGTATTCAGCACCTGGCACGTTATATAAGGTCCAATGAATTCTATTTTTATCAATTTAGCCCCAGTTTGATTTGGATTATCAAACAAAGAAACTTTTGTGCCTACTGCTTGGACTAGAAAGCATCCTGAATTCTAATAATACATCATTGGCCCCAACCTGCAAGGCCATTTGTCCGCCAGTCTTCCTTAATAGGCATCTCCTCAGTATGAACTAAGTGAGCTGCACGTCGACTGTTGAGAGCAGTATGCAGCGTCTGGCCTTGACACAATCACCTCAAAACAAACCAAGATGCCAACTGCACGAGAACTGCTGTTTATAAATAGGCAGTGGCAAAATAAAATATGATTCATCCTCCCAACAATATTATTATTGTGCTCTTTAGTTTCCTCCAAGCAAACACAGAGATGCTGAGATTAGCAGCTGGAGCTCAGGGAGAACACTAAGACTAGTTGTTGCAGAAAGTAGTGTTGTCATGATAATAAAATTTCAAACTTGATTTAGCTACTAAGGAACTGACTCAGTACTCAGTATATTTAAAGCCCTATATTACACAAAATTGACTCTTTGAGCTTTAAAGCATGTTAGAAAGCTGTTACCTCCTCAAAAACATGCCCACAGTTGTGCCTTATTTCATTCACACATGTTTGAGTAACTCTTTAGTCTTTAGTCAGTCTACATCTCCAGAGCTCAAAATGTTGCACCTTGTGATGTCATGTAGTAGTAGTTTTGAAGTTTGCAGCTACATTTTACCTTTTGTTTAGTAGAGATTGTCAATTTCAGGGCTGAAATGATCAAAATTATTCCAGTGATGGTGTATGGAGTTTCAAAACACTGTTGAGCACTTTCTGTATTATCACATGACATCACAAGGTTGAACAGTGTTTTCAGTTTTAGAGAAGAACTCAGCCTAAATATCCAGGGTTTGTGTGTTAAACACATGTGAATGAATCAAAACAGAACTCCAACTATGTTTTTGATGATGAAACATTATAACACGGATCAGAAAATTGTACAATATAGACCCTTTAAGCAATTAAATAACATTTTTAACATTAAATAGTGCATTCTTTTATATTACCATGTGGCCTTATATCTGTGTAATCCCAGTCATCCAGGTATGTTTCATAGAGGTCCATGGGTGTGTACTAGTCTGTGTGCTCTTATACTTGTTCTGATACAGCTAAAGATCATTCTGAAACTATTCAGGAAAGGTTCATTTCTGTCCTGTGAATGTTGCTTTTGTATCAATACTCAAATGAGGACCTAGTTTCAGTACTACTTTTCAGTACTAATGAATTTGGATTGTTAATTGCTATGACAACAGAGCTCATTTGAATTACTCTGAAACCCATATATATGTGTTGCCAGTTTTAATTTATATTCACAAATATTCTTCAAAGCAAATGACAAGTACAGTATAAAAAAGACATGACCTACCTAACAGGGCCACGGCTCCCACAGGACCCCCTTATCCTCTCTCTTTAAACCTGCTCCAGAAATTAATTAGATTTTGATATCTAGCTTTTTGCTCCCTATATGCTTCCCTAACTCTTCAACATGCGTGAAATTGCACCGTGCTATCTATTATTTATTCTCTCATTTGCTTATTGTTTCTTGCGGATGCTTTAGTCTGTTGACGGAGATATGAAGCTCCACCTCCCTCCCCTCTTTTTCTGCAGGTCCGGGGCTCCACTCATTTGCTGGCGTCGGCCGGGGAGTTATAGATTTTTTTTCTCTCTCTCCCTCTCTCCCCTTTCACCCAATGACAGCCCTGGTGAGGTGCTATGAGGGCTGGGTGCTAATGAGCTGACTCTGCAATGCTGGGGAGACGCTCGGCAACCAGGGAGAAAAGAGGAGAAAGGATGCTAGGGCACGGCGCGTCATCGGGGTCATTACGAGCACCACACACGGGGTTAACAGACAAGGCACTAAAGACATAATATGTGTCTCCCAAGTCCACTGTGGAGACAAATAAAAGGGTACAATAAATGAAAAAATTCACAACTTATTTTTCTGCTTTGGGGCACACAACATGCCTGAGTAGATCTATGGTAATACCTTAGGATAGAGTATTACCAGAACTGCACCATATATCGCAATCAAATTGAAACCACCATTTGAGTTTTGGCTACAATTATTTAAGTAATACAAGGTCCACTGTAAACAACTAAATATTAATTTTACAGAGGACTCTTGTGAGCTCGACCACTACAAACATGTTCTGAAATGCATGAGTTTCTTGTATTAGTTCACTTCATGTTTCTATTTGGAGTTCAGTGTGCACTCACTGAATCCCATTTTCAAACATGTGTAGCAAATCTTGCAAAACTTGTCAGAAAATTTTGATATTTTTCCCATATTTTTCCCAAAATTGTGAATCTGAAATGCAGTAAGCATTTAAATGTTGTAACATCAAGTATAATAATAATTCATGATTTTTTTTTTTTCTCTCTCTTTGGCCTTCTTTAAACCAATACTTCAAGTACATGCATCAGCTACAACAGAAATAACTACTTTATGCTCTTCTTTTTTGGAGCAGCCCACAAATGACTTTTTTTCAGTAGACTTTCAGAGCACATTCTCTCCTGTTACACCAGTTAAACGTTGGACCTACTTGACAGTTTTTTCTCCGTCACAGAACCATCCAGCCGTCCACAAGATTTGATGAACACTTAATCCACTGAGTCACTATCGCCCTGATAATATTCACTTAACTAATACTTAATTGACTTGATTGCAGCAGATCTGATCACACTGGTTTCATATTGGGCATCCTTGGCACAATCCTCTACATTTATCCAAACTGGGGACTGGCCCAATGATACACCTTATCTTGGACATTACTGGATTTGCTCTTTATATTTATTAATAGTACTACTTCATCTGCATAAGAATATGTACTCAAGAGGAAAGCATAGCAATTAGTATCTTCTTGGTCCATTCTCTCAATTCAAATTAAGGGAAGTTCCTTTCCACTGCTTCCATTCAAATTCCTTCTATAGTGCAGAACACAGTGAGTCCTTGACACAATGTTAATTGGCTGTATTTTCTTTGCAAGCCATGTATGTACACATCATGTTACCAAGGAAACTTTGAATGAGACATTGTATCCATCCAATTCTCCATTTTAAATGAACCTATATCAAATAATTATGCTGATGTAAAAGCTATAATGACTGGCTCGATGGTACATATTAGTATTGTATACGTGGCGCTAACAGTGATTACAAACAGTGTTCATATGATTTCATGCTGTGATCATTTCTATTGTATCACTGCGTTCACGTGTGACTGTGACTAAACCAGAATTGGACCATTGGATCAGAACTAAATCAGAACTAAAAAACGACCAACCCAAGTCTGTAGCAGGACTCATCAAACCAGGACCAAACCAGGCAAAGCAAGTGTGAACCCATGTACCATTCTCTCCAGTCCGTGTTTTCAGCTGCTCAAATCAGCAAAATCTCACCATTTAACAACTGCACTACATCAGCTATGCCAAATAAATAGTTAAAATGGAACAACACACTGACAATTGCATATTAATTATTGAATATACAGAATACGTAATTATAAGAGGTGGCCAAGTAAAAGCAATGATGTAATACTGTGAGTGAATTGAGATGTTCGGCTGACAAATAAGGTCCATTTAAGTTGAACATAAATAATTCTGCCTGGACAGAAGCAGCAGCAGGAGGAGGAGGAGAGTGGACAGGGCTGAAATAGAAGGCAGACTTACACGCATGGGTGACCGAAAAGCTGTTGGACGACTCGAGGTTGTCAACGTTGTAGTTGAGGTGGAAAGGCTTTTCAGTGGTGTTTTGGTTTGTGTTGTAGAGTTGGACAGCGAACCTGAACGCGCTGTGCTCCTGGACCGTGGTGCGCATAAAGAGTCCCCCTTTGAAAAGAGACACAGGTTAGAGATTAGATTAGGAGTCTAGTCTGTCGTAAGGACTGCACTCTGATGCCTGATCGAGGAATAGGTTTAAGTGTGTTGAGGCCACTGCATGCGCGGCGTTGCATCAGTTGGAGAGCAGTTGGATAGCGCGCCTGTCTCTGTCTTAACTCTTGTCGAGCTGCCCGTCTTCTACTGATACAAGAAACTAGACATAAAAACACCTAAATCACTAATGGAATATGACTTACCCGTTGAAACAGAACTGCAGAAATCATGCAATTCATTTTTTCCCCTAAAGTTCATTTTTACGCACATTCACAACACAGAATCCAGAGTGTCTCCTGATATGCACCACTTTGAAAACATCATACGCACTCACCACTGAAGCACACATGAACACTTACCGATATTAATCTGATTGGGGAAGCCGGCGAGGGATCCGTCCACGAGCCACAGTAGAAACAAAACCGCGCGCTGTGCCATTTTCGTCCGAGCTGCCTGTTCAACTCCTCAAAGCGGTCCGTGTGTGCACATTCATATGTTCTGTAGAGGGGATGGAGAGCGCCGTGGCAGTCCAGCGGATACAAGAGGAAGATGATGGTCCTAACACAGAGACTCACCGCGCACCAATTACGTTCATTCAAGAGGCGACCAGCTGCAAAGCGTTTTTTTTTTTTCTTCTTCTTGTGCAACTAAAGATCCAGCGAGAGAGTGGGGCGAGAGAGAGAGGGAGCGAGGGGTAGAGGGTGGAGGGGAGAAAGCCGATCTGAACTCCGATTGGACCCGTCGCGCCAAGACAGCGTTGGTCAAACTTGATCTGACGTTAAATTAAAAAGCCACACACTCCGCTGCGTTACATGTTACGTTTTACTGAAAGCGTAGACGACCGTGCACGCCCCGCCTGTCAATATTAGCCTATGTGGGGAAGGGATCGATAGGAAGCACTGCAATCTCAGGTGGCCAATGATTGTGAATGGCCCGGACACTAACAGCTGCGGCATCTGCTGCTGCTGCTGCGTATGTCGGGGGCAGACAGTGAGAAGTGAGCTCGCTCATCTCGCAGCACGGTCCACAAAGTTTGATAATTGACCGAACTCCGAAAATCTCTGCATCATTGTCACTGGTGCAGCTACAATGGTGCTTTCCCCTGTTATTGTACAAGCAAAACCAGTTTGGGATAATTCGAAAGCATCAATTAATGTTCAGTTATTCTATTAGGTTATAAAGAAACTAGACAGTGAAATCAAAGCGTACGTAAAGCATTTATTTGGTGGAATATTGCAGTGCATCAGTACTATGGTGCAGTCCCAAATTTAATGCATAAGTCTTGTCCAAGGGTATAAAATGGTTATGATTGTAATCAAAATCCCAATCTGCTGCAGTTATTATAAATGTTTGGTAAATGGTCACATTTCCACCTCCAAGGCTCTCAAAGCACTTTACATCAAGTTCACATTCATACACCACTGTACACAAACACTGGATGCGAGGTGGGTTAAGTGTCTTGCTCAAGGACATAACAACAGCATTCATCTGTGGGAGCTGGAATTGCATTGCAAACCTATGGGTCAGTGGATCTGACCGCTCTCCCAGTGATGTTTATGTCGAGAGCTGGATTTGAACCGTGAACCTTCGAATCAGTATATAAACACTTGGTAACTGAACTACTGTTGTGTAGTTTAAATTGAATAAAAAATGATTCTGCCGATAGCCTGGCCTACCATTTTATTTTTGACACAAACAAATACAGACAAACCTTTTGTATTTGTCTCCTCTTTTGAAACTGCCTTGTCACTTGGTTAGACCTACTGATAAAATCTGCGCTATGCACATTATGAACAATATTATCAAGCTGGTCATAAAATTGGACATAGCCATGAGCACCACTTAAACCTCAGCATGTCCTGGCCAGACAATCAGAGAGAGTTGATAAAGACCTCATGCTGTTGTATTTACTTTATTTGTTTCTGCTGTAGCGCGGATCTGTCGTCTATACTGTGATTCTGACTCACACTGAACAATTAAGGGATTACTGGCCCATTTATCACCCTCGGCAAAGCTCTTTGAAAATTGAGTTTTTAATTGCGCTGCAAATGGCTAAGGCTTCGGCTATTGATACTACATTGCACACGGATTGTCTTTGCTGTGGAGATGAAGATTGTGCCCTGTGGTCATTTTATTGCATGTTTCCAGCCTTTTAAATGTCCACTGGCAACGCCGTGAGAGTAGGGCTGCAAGATTAATCACTGCAGTTTTAGAAGTACCATAATTTTCTCCACAAACAACAAAATATCCTGTCTTATTTTGCATAAAACTCCTAACCCTGTACTTTAGATCTGTGAATGAGCATGTTCTGAAATGTGATTCTTGTAATATTATAGTGTATTAGTATTTTCATATTTCAGTCTTTTAGTCAGTTCTTATAATAATGCTGTTTCCTCATCATAAATATAACTGGAGTTGTGTTTTGTTTCATTCACACATGTTTAACACACAAACCCTGCATGTGGTAATACTGGAAATGCTTCACTATGTTTTTAAAGTCCATACGCCTTCATGTGTCATTGGGAATCGCCAATCTCTTCAAGACAACTGTAAAGATTAACTTGAAAAATACCACTTCATGACATCACCAGGTGGAACAGAACATTTTGAGCTGTGGAGATATAGACAGAATTATAATGCAGGATTACTCAAACATGTGTGAACTCCAGGTATGTTTTTGATGAGGTAACAACATGAAACATTACCTAAAGCTCACTAGTCATATTTTGTGCATTACCTTTAAGATGTGAACTTTGAACAGAATCCAACTATTAAACTATCAGTCGAAAATCTGATCGTGATTATAGTTCTCATCAGAAAAATCGCTACTAGATATTTTTCCCAAATCGTTCAAAGGTTTGTAGGCTTGTTTGAGACTGCAGATAGCCCATGTCGATTAAATGTGTGGTATGACCTGATTCGGAGCTGGGTGTTTCTTTCCAAAAGGGTCAGAGTGGATTCCCATATCGCCGTTCACAGAGTCCCGAGGGAGGCCTGTGGGATGACATCACATTGATTTTTCAGCCCACCATAGCTTCTGTTCGGGAATAACCTGACATCATTTGTGTGACCCTCGGTGGCTCAAGTGATCATAACCAGTGTTAAACTATGACCTGAGGAAGTCTGTGTGCAGCTTAAGCGTTCTCGCCACCACATATACATAACATTCCACGCTGCAGTTTGTTGAATTTCCATGGTTATTGGGAACACTGTCTTACATTAATTTCAGTTCAGTTGCTAACTTTAAAGTGCCCATATTACACAATTTTTTGATCTATAATGTTGTTTCCTCATTAAAAACGTACCTGAAGTTGTGTTTTGTTTCATTCACACATGTTTAAACATACATCCTGCATAGACCAATGAGGTTCATTTGGTCTGCCGATAATTTTATGTTATTAGGTTCTTTTTTCACACTAAGAATTTTTTTTTCATACCTGATCATTTCAACTGCTCACTAGCGGTCTTCCTCAGAGTCGTCACGTGATGTTGCTGTGATGTGTCCGGTCAGCTGATTTATACAGGTTTGGGCGCTGTCCTCCTACCGGTGAAGACAGAAAAAGTGCAGAGGGCAATGAGGAAAGACAATATCAACACACCAGTGAAACCGTACAGAGAACACAGACAATTACTCGTCCACCCAAAAGACAAAATAGGACCGGAGCATAAATGTAATTTCATATACGAAATACCCTGCATGTCTTGCAATAAAACATACACTGGAGAAAGAAGGAGGGTGTTCAGTGCATGAAAAAAGGAACATAGGACTGAATGCGAGAAGTAAACAGCGAAGGCATGCACACAAGTAACAAAACACAAAGTAGAACAGGAACAGCCCCAATCTACCATCTCTGACCACTGTAAAAGAGAGAACCACATTATGGACTGAGATGGAGCAAACATCACTGGAACAGAGGACAATAAACACCATCGCTGGAGGCAATTCGAAATATGGAAACATGCTCACGGGACTATAAACTGGGACAAGAGGGCTTTTTTACTCTCACACACCTGGGATACTGTCCTGAGGAAGTGGGACTGCAGATGGCGCTGTCATCCTTCCTCCACTGATAGGAAGACAGCGCCAAAACCTGTGCAAATCAGCTGACCGGACACGTCACAGCAACATCACGTGACCACTCTGAGGAAGATCGCTAGTGAACAGTTGCTGTTCCACTTTGTGATGTCATGTGGTAACACAGGAAGTCTTCCACTGTGTTTTTAACTCCATGCAACTTCACTAGAATCATTTGGATAATTTCAGCCTAAGATTTGTCAGTTATTACTGAACAAAAGGTTAAAGGTTGCTGTTAACTTGAAAATCACTGCTTCATGACTCAAGTTTTTATCAAAGCATTTTGAGTTTTGGAGACTAATAGGTAACAACATTCTAACATGGCTAAAATCTGTCAGCTTTGTTTAATATAGGACAGGATTTAAAGTTCTGATATATTGAAACCATATCAAAACTTTAAATCATGTTGTTGATCTAATAATAAAGGTTTCATCTTAAGAGAGGAAGGTCCCCTGTGAATTGTGTGTACAGATTTTTGTCTCAACGTTAATGCTCAGTAACTACACTAATTGCAGATATATGGTTTAGCTGTAACTTTGTCAAGTGCTATGGACCAAAGCCCATCCAAAATGCTCTCATGTCCAGTATTTGCGTCCTGTAATAGTCTTGTGTTATGCATTGCTGCCTTTTTATTCAACATGGCTTATTCTTTTACATAAACTGGCAAAATTCTCCACCAGATTGTGAAATAAACCCGCGTTTACGAGATTTGGAAACTGTTGCATCCTGTTTTTAATTCACATTCGGAAGCTTGTGCCAGCATAGAGGCGATTTACAGAGCTCTGTGTAAACTGTGTTAATTGTGCATAATTTTAAATCAGATTTCGAGTGGAAGAAATCACTGAGTAGCCACAAGCAGAGCTGCTGTTAAGATAAGACCTTGATATAATTGATATTAACTGGTGTGATGCTAAATGAATTTGTAATTGGAACATTCTAGTGCTGCATTATCTCTCCGCCACCTTTTGCACGAATTCAATTTACGCACCAGTGTACAAAATCCAAGATATGATCTATATGAAAACAAATAGTCCTCTATGATATGGCTTTTAGATTGAAACTATTTGTGCGAGTGTAGCTCTTGTTCGTAATATGAAGCGGCGCAAAGGAGATGAAAAGATGTTGCCGTTTTATCTTGTGATGATTCACTGCCTTATACCTCAGAGCAGTGCAACACTCACCAGCACAAATTATTCATCTGCCCCTGCCCTCTTCTGCAAACAGCCACTGAGATCCACTGTTAGGTACACATGTTTTGGATTTATTCATGTTCTTTTGAATGAGAATCAGAAACATATGCTGTAGTATGGGCTTGATGGCATCTCAGTTTGGAAACAGACTGTGCACCCAATAAAGTAGCTGTATGATAATGTGCCTAACAGGGTTAAGGGTAGACTGTCAGGATCAAGA